ACGTCAGCTTGAAGATCCAGCTCATGCACTCGTTGGCCCTCAGCCGCCCCCTTTCCAAAGTGCACGAGGTCGCCTCGACGAGGCGATATCTGAAGGTGCTCAACGGCACGCACGTGCGGGTGCTCCGGAGAGTCGGCGACGCCCCGCGGTTCGGCCATGCCGAAGCGGACCTCGAGGTATGCAGGCGGCGCAGGCAGCCCAGCTCGGACTGTCTGGTCATGCGTGCCCGTCTCCGCTACTCAGGGCGCCTGGCGCGCAGCTCACCGCCCACGCTGCTGGCCTTGCTCGCCGCGCTGCCAGGCGCGGGCCTGCCCCGGGTCAACCTGCTCGTCTCCGACCTGGGCAAGCTCCGCGAGCTCGTTGCCCTGTGCAGCACGCGGCCGCCGCCGGAGGGCACCGCGAGCGCTTGGGTGACGTTCATCAGCGACTCCCTGGCGCGCTGGGCCAATGCCGTGAGCATATTGTTTTTGACCGACTCTTGCTGTGAACGTGGCGGCGCCGCTCGGGTCGCAGGTGGCACCCGCCCATTTGCGTGCCACCAGTGCGACGCGTGCTTCGCGACGGCACAAGCACGCGACCAGCATTTCAGAATTCGACATCATGTCCGGTGTTTACAGAGAAGCTACACCAGCGCTGATGCGACCTGCCTGGTGTGCCACACCGTTTTCGGTTCACGATTTCGGTTATTGTCGCACTTATGCGACTCCCGCCAGCCAGCGTGCTGGGAGGCCACTCGTACTTCCCCAACTCGTTACCCTCCGCTACCTCAGAAGCAGGTGGCTGATTTTGACGACATCGATAAGGTACAGCGTCGCGACGCTCAGCGTCAGGGCCTGTCACACGCACTGGCCAGAGGGCCCGCTCGTCGAGCTGACGGCATCGCCGTTGGGCGCGCCCTGGTCTTACCGTTCGCCAGTCTTTATCAAGCATAATTTGATATGCCTCGCCCTACGCTGGGAGCATATGTATATATATATATATATATGTGTTTGTACATATATAAATATATACATACATACATACATACATACATACATACATACATACATGCATACATACATACATACACACACATACATACATACATACATACATACATACATACATACATACATACATACATACATACATACATACGTGTAGATACAGCACTGTATGGATATATGTATACATACATGCATTCATACCTGCCTACATGCATAGACGCAAAAAAAACATTGACACGTACATGAACATAGAAATACACACGTGCATGCACAAATATACATGCATACATACATACACACATATATGCAGACAGACTTACATACACACACACATATTTACATACTTTAAGTCGGCGGCGTAGAGGGACTTCAGAAACGGTCGGCAGGTGGAGGTGTCAATTGCGATTAAACTTAATCGAACGCGCCATGGTGAAAGAGTCCAGTCACGGCCATGCACACTGGCGGTGAAAAACGGGAGGCGCTGCAGTGCCAAAGTGCAGCGGCCAAAAACACAGCAACAAAAAAATGTAAGTCTGCCAGACAGCCAATTTAAGGGCGGCGCGCGCACGCAAAGGACAACGCGAAGAGCAACGCCACAGCCCTTGCAGCGTGTAAGTAACAGATAGTGCTGCACACGCACACATATACATACACATATGTATATACAAACATACACAAATATGGTCGCCCCCCCTGTGATCATACATCTCCGTCTTCCGTGTTCGCTCTCTCCCTCTCTCCTTCTCTCTCGCTCTATCCTTCTCTCTCGTTTTGTTGTTCTCTCTTTGCGTTTGTCTCTCGCGCTCTCTGTGATTGTCTGGTGCTGTCTTCGACTGTTTGTCTTTCACGCTCTCTGTGATTGTGTTTGAGCTTTTCCAGCTTTTCCGAAAGATTACCATCGTGAAAAAACCTTCTGTTTTCCAGCTTTCCCAGCTTTTCCAGCTTTTCCCAGAGACTACCCTGGTGAAAAACCTTGTGTTTTCCAGCTGTTCCAGCTTTTCCAGCTTTTCCCAGAGACTACCCTGGTGAAAAACCTTGTGTTTTCCAGCTTTTCCAGCTTTTCCCAGAGACTACCCTAGTGAAAAACTTTGTGTTTTCCAGCTTTTCCAGCTTTTCCAGCTGTTCCCAGAGACTACCCTGGTGAAAAACCTTGTGTTTTCCAGCTTTTCCAGCTTTTCCCAGAGACTACCCTGGTGAAAAACCTTGTGTTTTCCAGCTTTTCACCAGGGTAGTCTCTGGGAAAAGCTGGAAAAGCTGAAAACACAAGGTTTTTCACCAGGGTAGTCTCTGGGAAAAGCTGGAAAAGCTGGAAACCACAAGGTTTTTCACCAGTGTAGTCTCTGGGAAAAGCTGGAAAAGCTGGAAAAGCTTGAAAACACAAGGTGTTTCACCAGTGTAGTCTCTGGGAAAAGCTGGAAAAGCTGGAAAACACAAGGTTTTTCACCAGGGTAGTTTCTGGGAAAAGCTGGAAAAGCTGGAAAACACAATGTTTTTCACCAGGGTAGTCTCTGGGA